ACATCTAAACCACTCACCCGTAAAATACTCCAAAATCAAGAACCCCACCATGATGACGACTCCACTGAGCAGTATGAAGGAGAAAACCGAACTGGCACTCATCAGCAGAGACAGGCATTCTGGTGTCACAAGAAAATCGTTTTTTATTCATTTATCTTTATATATACAGAATGTGTTCTATCAACAAAACAAGTGTGGTGACTGACCTGAAATTGTCTGGATGGGGTGAAGAAAACTGAACTTGCTGAGCGTGATAAAAACTGCAGTGGTGGGCAGCAACAACAGGACAGACCAGGCAATGCTGGCAGCAGCTCTCCACCAGATAACCTTAAAGAGGACATTTTGATAAAGACTAAAAACAGCTGTACAGCAAAACCCAGCTAAGAATTTACCAAAGCATTTATAAGTACATTAGATATTAGCTTATCCTTGTAGTTGTCTGAATAAACGTAAACATTGTATTTAGTCTCATACTACCATGTTTTCAATTATTCTTAAATGTCCTGCTTGCAAAAGCGAGGATTTTTTTAGAACCTAAATTTAGAATAAACCTGATTTTGTTAGTTAAATCCTTGCTGTGAAGAAAGGAAGTGAGAATGTGCTATATTCTTACAGGAGGATGGTAGAAAATTTGACATTGATGTCATTAAATTTGGAGGCTTATTAACTGTGCTGCCTAAAATAGACTATAACCTGCAGCTTCCATCCAAAAAAAGACAGCTTGGTTCAGAGGATTAAATTATAGACAAAACTGGGTGTTCAAACTATACAGCGAACCCAAAAACATCAAACCTATTTTCACATGGCAGAGCAGACTGATTTCAGGCTCCTACACTAGCTCTGATTTTAACCATATCGTGAACTTTCATTCAAAAACTGTCTCAGGGAGACTCACTGTTAAAATGAACTATAAAAGATATTCAATATACTGCAACAAGTATGCAAAATAAATCTTGATGGCGACTAAAAAGCAGTTTTGAAAAAAGAAGTTATGCGTGTTGGTTTGACTTTGTATGCAGAGGCGTAGCCGGAAATTTGGGTGGCCAGAAATAAGGGTGGCCAGGCAATAACCAATGTACACTGAGGGGTGGCGGAAAGTGGATCGGCACCAGAACCTCAGGGTCAATCTATACTGTTTCCACAGCAAAATTAAAAAGCAAAACATCCATATTTTCTAAATAAAGCCAAAATATACTTTCCTACAGCCTTTGCTAACAAATGGACACATATATTTTAGGGCTGCAACTAACGATTATTTTAAAAATCGATGAATCGGACGATTATTTTTTCGATTAATCGATGAATCGAACAAAATATATTTTTTATATTAACCTCTTTATTCCAAAATAAACATTTTAGACAGAACAAACAAGCACACAAGTACAGGTTGCTCATTAACTGTACTGGTGCAATATGAAAAATAAATGTTTGTGTTAAAACTACGCAAACTTACATGAGAAATGTAGCTGTACATCCACAAAATATAGGGTACTTTGTTTCATAAAGCGCATAAAAAGACATTTTTGTTTTTAAAAGCCTCTAAGGGGTTCAAACAATAGGCCCCCCCATTTCAACAAATGAGTTTTTTTAGACTAGAAGAGTTCTGCCTTTTAAGACAGGAAAGTACAGCAGTTAAAGTTGCTACTTGAGAAAATACTGAACCATAGAGATAAAAATAGCCCTGTGATTCAAATTATAAATTGTATTTGGAATAAAAATGAGAGAACTAGGGGTGCTAAAAAACACATCCTCCAAAGACAGATATTTACATGGGAATGTGGCAGATAATTAATTGACATATTACTGATCTTGCTGGATTTTATTCTGCTTTACTTCCATAAATTGCAGGATCTTCTTTACTTTATCTTTGCCAGAAGATTTAAACTTTAAAAGTCTTGCCCTCATAATTTGCAAGTTAATTTATTTATAAAGTAAATATAAACGCTGCTTAAGCTAATTCAAATGAAATTAAAAGTAAAATAAGTAGCCAACCTTATCACTGTCTGTAAGTAACTGTCTGTAGGTAGGTAAGGAAAGCATCAGATGAGCTACCTGAGAAACTAACGTAACGTTTCCCCCACTTTAAAACCAAACAAACATGGTGGTTCCGTGCCATGTTAATTTCTTTTGAAAAAAGTTGCATGTTATCACTTTTTTCGCTTTACAAAGCACAGGCTATTTTAATTATTGTGATCAATTTGCGCCGTCAATCCCGGTGCATGCGCGCTTCATTTGCAGTCTGGACGCTGAGGCTCTGACTGAGAGGGACTACTGCGGGAAAACGCGGTTGGTGTGGGGGAGGCGCCCCACGGCAGAGTAGGAACGATACATGCTTTCACGTAAGAGTCTCCAAAAGCCGCCAGTGACACCGAAAAAAGTCGCCAGATTTGTCGCTAGTCGCTTTTTTGAAAAATAGTCGCTGGAGGGGTCTGAAAAGTCGCGGAGTTGGCAACACTGCACCTGCGGCGCTGACTCGCTCTGCCGTATTTTTTTTTCTTCCTCTTTCAGTCAAGAGGCAGTGATGACGGCGCGGCGGATGACGCAATAATCGCGCGACACAACTAATCGATGATGAAATTCGTTGCCAGCGCTTTTAAAAGTCGATTTTTATCGATTTTATCGATTCGTTGTTGCAGCCCTAATATATTTAAACATCCATGATTTCTAGATAAAAGGTGTAGTGGATAAAACTCTTTCAGTTTTGAGTTCTGGGGCGTAAATCGTTTCCATTGTCATTACTTACCTGCTTGTATCAATAAACCTTCGGCATAAAATTTACATTTACAAGCACTAGTATCTACATAGATTTATTATTTGATAAGTTTATATAAAAATTTGTTTTTTATTGATAATTTCACGGAAGACTCGCAGATAATGTTCTATATACCCCATAAAACACAACATCTAGTTCTGAAAAGAGCAGGAATTCTGTACTTATCATCTTTGATGTTAGGATATTGATGTGTATAATTAACCACAAAAAAATTTAATGTTTTGAATATTCCACTTCAGGGTATCACTGCTGCCACCCTCTGTATCAGAGGGAAATAAATAGTAGGGATGGCCAATGATTGGCTAAGTGTGGCCATGGCCACCCCTGGCCACCCATCTAGCTCCGCCCCTGTTTGTACGGTTTTATGCAGTTTACCTTCTGTAATAATCGTTGATGTTCGAAAATGAGTCTCTCGAAATAAGAAAAAAAAAACCGATATCATTTGTAACCGATATCATTTTCAAATGACTTATGCTTAAAAACGGAGGAAAAGCTCGATCTGGTAAAAGTATCAACACAAAGATCCCAATGTTTACATCAACATTTACTTGTGCATGTTGGATCTACGTTTTTCACCTGCATCAAAACATTATCTCAACATTTTCTATGAATAGCCTTAGTCGTAGAATATATCTGTGTTAATACCAAGTAAACTTTGTTTGTCTTCTGTCAACTTAGATTTTGTTCCTGTATTTGTAATATTTTTTTAGCGTAACATACATAAACACACATATTTAGCCCGTATTTTTTAAACGCTAGTTATATGAAGAAGCTAATTTAAAACTCCTTTCAAAACAGTGCATTGTAAAACTAAACTCCAGAAAGCTAGCATCAACAAATGGAGTTGAGGGTTAGCCGCTTAGCTAATGCAAAGCTCTTTGTAGTTCCTTTAAATTCACTGTCAATACAAGTAAAAAAAAGACTCACCTTGCTAATAAACCAGCTGCTCGTGTTAGGAGCAAACATGGTGTTTGTCTGACAATAACCTCTCTATAAATAGAAAAGACGTTTTCAGCTCCCCGGCTGTCAAATTATGTTAGCCTCCCGGTATCCACATCGCGCCACATGCATTTAAGACACCGTTAAAAGGACCCCGATTAATAGGTGTCTGTGAAACTGCCTGTTGCCGACGTTTCTACTTTAGATAAGCCCGTTCTAGTTTAAATGTTTCAGTAAAAATGCAGAGTTGAATTGAAATTATCATCACTCATATTCAAGTTTGAAAAATTCTTAAAACCATTCTAGTTTTAGTATGAATTTAATGAAGTACAATTACATTACTAACAACTCATATATATATATATATATATATATATATATATATATATATATATATATATATATATATATATATATATATATATATATATATATATATATATATTTAGACCACTTGGGAAAATTTATCAGTCACACGAATAAGACTATTTGTGTGACTGATAAATTGCTTTAGTGCCACCACATATGGGAGACAACTGTGTCATTGCTTGTGTTGAACTGCTCAAAGTTAACCAATAAGTTATAATATATTAATCAGAAATAATGATTTTAACTATATAAATGGATACTGGTGAGTCTGGAAATGTGACTTTTACTGTTTAAATTAAATACTGAAATAAATGAACTTTTAGACAATATTCAACATCCTTAAATGCAAAGGTATTCAATTATAATATGTTAAACCTCTTATTCTACATTAATTATTTCAAATTCGAGATATTTTGGCAGTATAATCAACCATATATAAAAGAAATAAAAATACGAGAGCTAAAATACAAAATGTGCCAAAACTGTGCCAATGTCTCTCCCTTCTGGCTCCTCACAGTTGTTGATTTTTTTTTGTTTTTTTTTTATGTGAGTTGTATTTGTCATAAAAAAATCTTAATCGATTCTAGAAATACTACCCTATAATGTATAAAGTATTTAAATGATTTAATTTCTTTATACATTAGGCCTATAGAGTAGAAATACTATTCTATAATGTATAAAAAATAATCATTTAAATACACACATATATATACATATAAAAAGACTAAACACAAACTCATATACATACAGCCAAATGCTCAAAAATAAATCTGCTTAACGAGACAGCTCGGTTTGATGTGACAATATATATTTAAGTAAATATACATGATGAGTGTCGGTTTAGACATGCATTAGACAGTTATTGAGCAATTATCAAAATCATTCAATCAATGTCACTGTTTTTTTTTTTCTAAACCAAGTCTTATTAGGTTCCATGATGAAAAGTCTTTGCCAAAGGACAAAAATCTCTGTTCGTCCAAACCTCTGCTTTAGTCACAGTCCTAAGTTATCTGTTTTGTCTCAAAGGCATTAGATGGGAGCTTCTGATATGCGCTTATGGACATGTCAGTTTGAACTTCTTTGTGGGTAAAGGGTCTCTGAATAATGGCAGGAAGAGCATTTTGCTCCCTCTGTGTCTTCTTGTCTTCCCACAGCTTTAGCAGACGCCTCTGGTTGTTTGTCATATCTTTGAGGTTTTGCTGTAACGACTGCACTTGTTCCTCCAAAAGCGTCTTGGAGGTGGCCACATTTGACAACTCTGCGGTCAAGTCATCAATGGTTTGACTAAGTTTCCCGGTCTTCTCTACTAATGAGTTGCACTCACGTTCCTTTTCTTGCAAATCATTGACGATGTCTTTTGTAGTCTTCCCAGTGAATTTGGGGCTGCTCTCAAGTCCAATATCCACTCGAAGAGCCTTCACTTGCTTTCTAAGCTCTTTGTTGTCCATGGTCAATATTTTCAGTTTCTGTTTCATACTCTCGCTGGAACGCAACCTTGCCTCATTCTGCCTGAGCCTTTCCCTCAGAGCACTTTCCCGTTGCAAAGCTTCATCTCTTTCCTTTCGGCAATTCTCCAAAAGTTTCAGCATCTCAAATTTGGAGGATTTTTCAGCTTTACCACTGGAGGAGGCCATCCTGCAGAGAGTTGTCCAAATCAAAAACTAATGGAAATTGATTGCATTTCTTCTGAAGAAAAAAAAGGGTCCTTTAGTGGGGTGTTAATGAATCCACAGGCATAACTGAGACTGTGATAGGTGACATTCCTTTAAGAGGGTTATCAGTAAGACAAGGAGGTTCCGCTGTAACTCAAAGCTGAGGCTAGAATGACCATTAATTATGGCACCACCATGTCATTCACACAGTGTCAAGTGACCCATTTCTTTTCTCGATTTTGTTAATTAATCTAGAAACGTCTGCCCTTGTTAATCAGTGCAAACAAAGGGTGAAATCTTAATGACCTTCTCTCACTGGTAAGAATCCCAACTCTGCAGTGAGTCTGTATGTGCTACCAGTCAGAGCTGAACATTTTCCACTGGAGGCCATCCAAACTGTCACACTAGATTTTTATCAGTTTTACCTGCCATGCAACAGCTAAGATGGAGGAGTCAGAAGGTGGATGGTGGGGGCCTATCATCCAGCTTTTAAGGTCAGACACTCTCTTGTTAACGTTGAATCTACACCTATTGGGTACAATGTCACCTTTAAATATTCAAAATGTCCAGCTGTGGAAATGGACAGGCAACTTCTAACAGTAACAAGGAGCTGATTGAAGGGTCACATTGCCTATCTTGTGACAGCTGAGGTGAGTTAAGGTCCCCAAGCCTAAAATGTTTTAAACGACACAAAAGTGCAAATTAATTGGTCTAAAATGCGCTATCATATAACCTTTAAAGGATTATAATCGGGAATTCAAATAAGTTAGTATTAGTCATATCGGGTGGACTTGGGCTATGAACAGTCGGTTCTCTTGTTTTGCCAGTAGGAACTTTGCAGTGTGCTTCAAAGGTGTTTCAATAGCTCACTAATGCCCTCGAACATTAAGTCTTTTAAGAACAGTTGCCCAATGGTGGATTTTCAAACCATTTTCAATGAATTTCTAATTGCCACCCTGCTGCAGAGGGAAGGGATGCAATATTGTTGGTCCCACTTTTAAGATTTATATTTATTAAAGCTAATTGTAAACCATTAGTTTCATCCCACTCCCCAACTATGCACTTTTTATGCACTATTTTTGCACGCCACGTATCACTTTACTTGGATTTTCACTTTATTTGGATTTAGTTTTTACATATGCATAGATTTACGCACAGATATATATACAGAAGAGCTATATGTGTATATATTTTATCTCTTTTTATTCTTATTTTTTTATCTTTATTATATTGTAAAGTTGGATTTGTGTATATATCATATAAAACTGTAACTGGAACTTGTAACCAAAGTAATTTCCCTCTGGGATTATTATAAGTTTGAGGCTTTAACATAATCATCTTTATGAAAACAAACAACTTCAACTGACAATGATTTCAAATAAAATCAAAATATTAAATGTTTAATAGGTTTGGCTTAAAAAAATAAAGGTTTAATTAATTTCCTACTCAGGATATTACAAGTTTACTATATCAAAATGTGAACAAATTGAAAAACATCCTATCAGCTGCTGTTCTTTAATCTAGCCTGTGTTGTAAAACCATTGTATTGGCAGAAGGTAGCCTTATTATGGCAGAATGAGGCAGCAAATCAGAAGGCACCACATATGTTCTGTGACCAGGTAAAAACATGACATGGATTTTCATAGACTTTATTTTGATTTGCCATAATAACAACCAACTATTCATAAAATATTTACAAAAATCACTTAAAACACTTGGCTGTGGCTAAGGGCACTTGATATTAGGAAAATAAAACACCTTTACCTCAAGAGGGTACTTATGAAACATTTTTTTAAACAAACTTGCTCTCATAAACCATTTTTTGAAAATAAACATTTTACCATTAGTGCTATGAAGCTGGAAACACCATCACTATAACAGACTGAGTGTGCTGTGTAATACTAAACCCCAATTAACTTAAGCAAGTTTAGAAGCCATCCCATTAGGAGTAACATACTTCTGACCAGTTTTAATTTTCAGAGCTTACAATGCTGCACAGAGTTTACACGCTGGCCTATAATGGCCTCAATGTCGGAGTTGCCGGTGAAATCCGGTCCACCCATGACTTCATCAGCGCAGGAACTTGAGTCTCTCTGATAAAGCAACTGGAGAACCTGTCATTTAAAAATAAACAATAACACTCACTTTAGGAAAACTAAATCGTGTAAAGGAAGTCTGGGGTCAAGTTCTCATCTTAAAGGGGTCATATAATGCAAAACAGAGTTTACATTGTCTTAGATCAGGGGTAACCAATTCAAAATCAGCGGGGTCCGAATAAAGAAAATCAACAACCAGTAAATGTCCGGAGACATTTTTAATTATAATACATTCCTTTAAACAAAATTTTACACTGAAATAAAATTAGGTTTCTATGCATCCACGTTATACATTGATTTTTTTAAATAAAAAAATATATATAAAAAAAAACAATCGTTCAGACTGGTATATAGACAATTTCCTGATTCACATATTGTATAAAACACCTGAACTGACCGTTTGTTTTTTTCTTTCTTTTTTATGGCTTAATGAGAGCATGGGGCTTTGGCTGCCCTGCAAGGCTTTAAACCTGGGTCTGAATGGAGACAAATCCTTTCTCAAGCACATATCAAGGTGCTCATTCGTGAGCCTGTATAGATATTTATTTTTAACTATCTTCATGGTGGAGAATCCTGCTTCACAGCAGTAGGTTTAGCCAAACATACTCAAAATGTGCAGGGTCATCTTTGAGCACACTGTTTCACTTTTCTTTCACCAGTTCACTGTGCTTCTTCCTAGCCTGGTCCCGGAGTGCTTAACCGTATAAACAGCAGAAGCGTTGCAAGTGAAATTAGACACTGTCGTTGGATAACATGTGGTAATTTTTATCTGTTTGAAATTAGTTTGGGTCCAGAATAGCCAGCAGGTGGGTCTGGATCTGGACTGGTATGACGGTATGCACGGGGCCGCCATTGTCCAGGCTACCATCACCTGGGTCAGGTTCGGTCGCTCCATCCCAAGCTGACTCCCTGTTTCAACTACATGCTGCAATGAAGTAGACAAAAATCCTGGAAGATTTTGAAATTCCCCCTGGACATTTCTTTAGGTATGAAAAGTAGGACGTGTCCGGGAAAAAGAAGACGTCTGGCCACTCTACCATATCAACAATCTAAATGTTTCAGAGAGTGAGTGCTTGTTGCTATGATGCGTCTTTGCTCAGCAGCTTTGCTCTTTGTAAACCAACCAATCAGCACACACCTCGTCTAAATATTCAAAACCTGTCGTTTCATTCTGGGGCTTTTAACCATTAGGGCTCATAGAACAGCAAATATGCCATTTTCATCCCAACCAATGCTGCACACCCAATTCAGAGAACTTAAGGACCAGCACCAAATACCTTATAAAATCATTTTATGACCCCTTTAAGTGAATTTAAAAATAGACACACTTGATTCTTTGACTAAATAAAAATCTTCTTTCATTAATTTATGCCTGCAGTTGATTAAAAAAAGCAAGATAACCCTAACATCTGTGAAATATCAAAACACAAGACTGATAAAATAACAGGTATATATTAGATCATAACTTTTATATTTGGTTCTAAAAAGCGTCTTTAGGGTTCACCTTTGCACGATGCAGGTCCTTCATGATGATGTGCCATTGGTGGTCTTTGTTACAGGTACAGATACAGGTACTGATCCTGGCCCAGGTTGGCTAAAAAAGTACATCTGTAGGGAATGGTGAGGTAAGTTTATCACACAGAAGAGACAAAAAGGACAGCTGTATATTGTATACTAAAATCAAGAAACACATGGAAACATAGGAACATTTAATCCAAAAATTTAAGGTATGCTGTAAATTAAACCGATATTCTATAAATTAGGACTGTGATATTAAACGCATTTCCAATATAAACGCAATTTAATTTTTAAATCCCAGAGGCACTCAATATGAAATCAAGAAGAGTAAAACATTCAATTTTTCACGACAGGTCTTTAGGTGAAGGTAATATACTTAAAGGCACACTATGCAACATTTTTCAGTTAATTAATGTGTTCCATAACGTTTTGGATGATTAAATGAGTCATTTCAGGTTGAACAAAGGTATTCTCGGCCGCCCTGGTGGTCTGTGGGGGAAATACTGCACTTGCAATTGCAGGAGCACCGACCCGCACCCACAGGCTCAGAAGTCTCGTGAGAGTCAGTCTTGCTTTACGGCCGAGAACTGCTACACGCCCCCAGTTAAAAGCATGCTCGTTGCTAGCACAGTGGCGATCTTTGTGCAGTTATGCTACGTTCACATCGGACGCAGCAAAATCGCGTCTGCTGCTTCATTTTTCAGTGGGAATAAAGTAGTTTTAATATGTGTTTAAGTGAGAAAATACACCTGAAAACGTAATCAGTGCAGTCAGTTCATTCAGATTATTATCCTGCCTTCAATATTTTTTCTGTCGGAGCCGCTCAGACCCCCACATACCAGCGGTGCGCCGACAGTAGGGATCCCTTCATCAGCAGCCTCTGGCCTGGTCGCCTCCTCGCGCTTCACCATGGCAGCTGGTAGGTGTTTTTCATCTAAATAATCCAAACTGCATATTCTGCCGGCAGATTTCTGCATTTTAAGTTAATTTAGGCGTCAATAAACTGTTTAAGAGGAGTGATCATCAGCGCTGTGTCTCTCTCCCTGCGTCAGATGCTTAAACGCGCCCGATGCGCTGCTTCAGCTGCTCAGATGTGCTGCGCCTGCTGCTCAAAACGCGCCGCGGGACCTTTTGCTGCGCCTTGACGTTACGTTGCATGTAAACTCGCTGCTTCTGTCGCGCCAGCTGCGGTGTGAACGCAGCATTAGTCATTCGTTGCGTTCGCCTGTCTGCTAAGCTCAAAACAACCGCGCCTGGCTTGACGGAGAAACCAGGAGAACAGCTGTGCATATTTACGACAGTGCACTTTTACTTTCGCCCTCTGGGGGGAGCCTTGCTGGAAAATCAACACCGGTTGCATAGTGTACCTTTAAAGTGGGTTTGTTGCTACACAGAGGGGAAAAGAGAGTTGAAGCACACAAATCCAGGCATGCTAATAAAAGCTAGCACTTTTTCAAACTGAGGTTACAGGAATGTCCTGCAACAATAGACTCTGAAACAGCAAGCTTTCAAGGTCATAACAAACAGAGTCCCTGGACTGAACCATCTTGCTTGCGGTTTGTGCAAAGACAGGAAAAAATTGTAATAAAAATGCAATCGAAATATCGGTGGAAAATAGCTATTTGAATTTTTGGTAAAATCTTTCAGCTTTAATAATATGTTTTCTATTCCTGATTTAAATCAAGCTAACACCAGTTTTTATAGTAAAATATACTGGAAATGTCTTGATATTGACTGGATACAAGATCGCTAAATATTTTACATACGTTTATTACTGACCAAGAAAACTTCAGTGATATTTTTCAAACAGAGAACAATAGCCAACATCAACAGTTGTGTTATTAACCGATGGGTTACAGACGGTAGATGAAGGTAGATATATTCTGATATTTGTTTTTGATATCAGACTGATATCTGACATCAATATCTGGTGGGGAAATCCCTATTATATACCACAACATTTATCTTCCTTCTACCCCAGTTTTTTCTATGTAAAACATATTGGAGTTACCATCTCATTTTTTTAAAATTCAGAAAATCAAAAAAAAAAAAACCCAGCTAAAATCTTCAAAGTGTCAGATTTTCTCCTTGTTCAGTTCAGGTGTCGGGTGACAAGCGGGATCTACA